CGCTTTCACGACGGGTTATCTAGCTTATGGACCAAGCTTGATCAAACATAACCAAATTTTTACAGAAAATATCTTCATATCATGAATTCTGAACGTTTTAACCCGCGCCCTGGTGGTGGGGAGCTTTTTTGTCCCCCCCCCCTCCCCTCCAGACTTTTCGATATATGATTGGTCAACGCGTAATGACCTTCCGCGTCAAACAATATTTTGTATAGAATATAGTTCCTCCTATATTAAGATATAGAAAATAATATGTTTTATAAAAATGTTTTATATTCTTTGCTGATCATTTTGAGCATAAAAATCATAAATCCACTGCAAAAAAAAAACAATTTCGGCCTTCGGGAAAGTGAACTTTTTCCTTCAATATCCCTCAAGGGGTTGGGCCCTCTCCCCTGATAATCGTTTATTTCTACCTGTACTTACCTGCGGCCGTGACCTGATCCGTCGGTGACGCGGCATGTGCTGCCCGGTTCGCCGGAGGGGCAGCGTTGACCGTCGCTATCAGAAGCAGCAGCAGCTGCAGCAGGCTCATGAGCCGGGAGTTGACCATCGCTGCACAGACGGCCGGCGGAGCACGGCCACAGCTCCGGTCAGAGGGGTGTCGGGCGACAGACTGACAGTCGCCCTGATAGACTGACTGACAGACGCCCCCGCCGGTGACAGGTGCCGCTGTCTGTGACGCTGACACTGACACTGACACTCTGACACCCTGACACTGACACTCTGAAACACCCTCCCTCACATCGTAATCCCATAGTATTGTCATCTGGGCAGCTCTTTCACCGAAGTCCTCCGGATTCTGATCAGACATTTGACCACGACAGTCACCTCGTGTGATCGACGATATTCGGCCGACGACGACCACAGGTACCCGCTATCATATCCTGGCAGTGACATTGACGGAGACATTTGACATATGTCGGAGCTCGCGATTGTGAATGAGCGGAATGGCGTTTGACGGGTAATCCCAGCACATCGGGTAAGTATTAGGGCGATGGTCACCTCGACAGGGGCATGGGGTGTTATGTATGTAACTGCATCCGTTCCCGGATGTTTTCTTGGTCAGCTAAACTCACAATTTTTAGGGGACACTGAGCTGCGATATATCTACGAAGGAATACAATAGGCGTCATTAGCCGACACTGGTAGCACTGCATTATTGCGATGACAGGAACTCCGCCAGAACCTTAATCAGGAGAGGTCAAATCACATATTGTCATGACAACCAAATACATGTTATTTAAAAGCTACATTATAAGCTAAACTTCACGCATAGGGGAAGCCGGGGGAAGCCCGGCATAGTAAGCTCTTTTTCATTTTTATTACACACCATACGTGCTGTATAAAATGTTGATATCCTGTTAGCTAGCTAAGCTCATTGGTCGTGTCTTCCCAAAAATTCGGTTTCGTGGAATAAGTATAGGTTTGAGAAAATCGAGTTTTAAAAAAGTGTTGATTTTTCTGGGGTAAGCCCGGCATAGGGGTAACGCCGGCCACCTCCCCAGCGCTTTACAACGAGTTGATGAAACCATTATGTGTCTTCCAAATATTAACGGAAAGTGAAACATTAACCCGCGCCCCGTAGGGCTACCGGCGGACCCTACCACCCGTAGGGGGGGGGGCCGTTTCGGCCCCCCCCTAAGATCTCAGAAAGTTACCGGCCGATTTTTAAAATTCAAACGGCGTTCGATAGCCCCACCCGGGAACTACCTTGTGACCAAATTTCATTGACCTAGGTCAAACCGATGACGTCACAGGTCAGGTCAAAGGTCAGATTTTCACCGTTCACAGGCAATTCAAGAAATGTGCTGTGAAAGCGAGTAAATTGGTAATTTATTGAAAACCATCGATGGTATATTGTTCGTCAAACACATACTTTGCTATCTGAGGTCACTGATACCAGGTCAGGTCACAGCGAGGTCAGGTCACCGGGGGTCACAATATGAATGTGTCGTGTGATGCATGTTTTATGGTCCATTTTACATGACAAATGCGATTATGTGGGTTAGGCAGCCTTTGGGGCCAGCCTAGGTCACGTTTTTGTGAAGGTCAGGTCAAGGTCAGGTCAAATTAGGTCAAATTTCAAAGTTGATATTTTTGCATAAAATGGGTATCGATTCGATGCAGCTCGTCACGGGGAGTCTAATGGTGGTCTTTGTTTTGCTCTACGAGTTCTAGAATTGCCAAAAATTGAGTTTGAAAATTTGACGTCATCATTTTTGAACAGTTTTTTTCGCTATAACTTGGCCAAAAAACGAGGTATCGATCTGAAATTTGGTATATAGATAGAAGACGGTAGGCACTATCACATATATTCCGGTTTTTTCGAAACTAAAAAAACTTTTTGGATTTTTTGGCGAATATATCCAAAAAATGCTTTTTTGATTTTTGGGGGTCAAAACTCAAATATTTCAAAAATTCGAGATAGCAGTTTTGTAGCCCTGTCAATTCTACACCTTTTATGTCTTGATCATTTTTCTGTATCTTCAAAGCTGTAGTCCTGACAGGTCTTCTAGCGAAGGTCTTTTTTCGATCGAAAATGACAGAACATGACGTCACTCTGACGTCATTTGTGGCCAACCTATCATAGCCTCTGAAAAAAAAATTTTGGTCACAATGTGTAAAATTGATGCCCGGAGGGGTCCTGAAAGTTTGGTGGCGATATCTCCAGCCGCTTAGGAGATATCGACCGAAAAGGACAGGGGGGGCCGTTTCGGCCCCCCCCTACGGGGCGCGGGTTAAGGTACTGATTAGCTCTGGACATACACCTTTTTGCACTCAAAATAGGCATCTTTTCATTCAATTTCGGCGAATTGCATTCAATTTTAGCGATCTCTCTATTCGAAGCAAATGAGAGATCGCTAAAATTGAATGCAATTTGCCGAAATTGAATGAAAAGATGCCTATTTTGAGTGCAAAAAGGTGTATTAGAGTTTATGTCACTACTGGTATTTTAGCTAGCGTGTACCACATACAGTACAGAGGCCTCTTGCACCAAAATCCTCTTGCACCAATGCTTGGATTATTTTGCATCGTATACCCAGTCCAAGTCTCAAATGTAACAATTTGCGTGCAAAATTTAGCAAGCACTTGCAGGATTATGTATTGGGCTATTGCAAACAAATTTACCACCTTTAGATTCGCTTATTCTGAAACCGGTTTTTCGATTTTACCTAGCTAGGTAGTTTGGTTCAAGAGGCCTCAGGTCGATGAAAATCGTGATGCAAAATTGACAAAAAATGTGTATTTCAAAATTCCTTAAAATTTATTTTTCTTTTTACCTTATCTTAATGCATCATATTGCATATCATTCGACTCGGCTGATGAAGAAGAACACAACGACACCATTTTTGAAGCTCTAGCTTCATTGTCTGTCGCGTTATCTGCAAAAACGTAGTTTGACCCTTGTTGACCTTAAGTGACATGACTGGCTTTGTCTATGATAAACATGTTTATTTTCGAAATTTATCTTTGATCTAGGTGTAAACCAATCCTGCTCAGTACCTATTATCTCATGGAAAACAGTGGTTTAGTGGCATTGCTCTCGGTTGGGGGTAAGCTTGGCCACTCGCCCGGGTTTACCCCAATGTGCTAATTTTCATTTTAGAACAGCGATATTCGAAAAAATGTCATACTTAAGCCAGCCTGCCTCGTCACCCCTCACTACAAACACTTAAACGGTCCTTACATAACATTCGTATAAATATTAGTACTGTATGGTTTAACATTAATCAGTGCAACATATCTCACTTTTTAGCTAAAAACCCTTAAAATATCATTTTTGCGCTATAACTTTAACAATATGCAATTTTTGTTAGCCTTAACTTTTTGCTGGCGTTACCTTAGCTGCCACGCTGAAAGGACAAACAGTTGAGCATTTTATTGTGAATAATTTAGCCGGAAACGGGGTGGCCGGGCTTCCCCCGCGCCCGGGCTTCCCCCGGCTTCCCCTACCTCTACAAAAGCACAGTTAAAAAGACGAACTGAGGCCTGAAGTGAAACGGACGGTAATTTGGCAAATAAGAAATACGAGATTATCTTGGAATTGACGTTTAAAATTAAACGGTGTTTTTGTGTCAGAGCCCTCAGGAGGAGCCATGAATTCGAGGCACTCCCCATGGTTGTGTCCCACGTCCCTCTGAGCTGTCACTCCCTGATCCTTCATCCAGTTTGGTCACCGTCGACAGACCTCAGACGCATCATTCTGCTGCAGTTGTCTATTTTCACCCCGATCCGGTCTCCGATAGCGCCGCATCACTTAGAAAATAGTACACGGTCGTACACAAGGGCGGACGAATCGCTCGCCCGAAACAACGAGTCAGAAACGAATTCCGCTGTTGAGATCTCATAGCGCTGGGATAATCAAATCTTTCGGCTCAGTAACACAGCATAACAGATGAGCAGCAGACAACAGTTCAACATGTTGACAGTGGGTGCAAATTTATCAGGACAAAACAAATAACAAAAAGAGTATTATTTTTGATCGTGTTATTTGGAAGTCATCGCAATGTTTTGGTATCGGACTTTATCGACCACGGGATAACCAAGAAAAAAAGTAGTTTCTTATGCTCCAATTGAGCTCAGAGGATTGAGAAAAAAAGATGATGACGCTGGATCAAAACTACAGGAGCAAAACTAAGAACAGTTCGGCGTTGGCTTTTGTCTGAATTCATGAGCTGTTGAGAGGCGATAAGTTGGCCAGGTCAGACGGAAAGCAGCTTGCGTGGAGCGTGAGATTGCGTCAACGAATTGATAAAGACGCGCATGACAGCGCCCGGAAGTTGACAGAGCTGGTCAAATGGTTGTGAAGAGTTCTTAGAGAGAGGACATTATCAGAGAGATCGTCGAACAGCTGGGGAGTCGGGACGTCACGTTCAAGAGATAAGCTGCGTTTGAAGGCGAGTTGTCATGACTACCTGTTCTGACGTTCTGTTTTCTCCAGCGCAACAGTTTGCACATGCTCGCCAGTCACCACTCTAGCTCGGAAAGCTACAATCTCTGAAAGATGAGTATATAGAAACAGTGTACGGTACAGTACAGAAAAGGACATCGAACCACATTGAGACAGAAAAGATTATCACAAGACACGCGTCTCAAGCATATCGGTCAATCCAAAGATGATGGTAGATCAGTAATACTGAAGCAGACGCCAGACTGGCAGGTAAGATCGAGCAACGTTTGGCCGCCGCGGCTGAAGCTAAACTTTTCTGTCTTTCGGACCCTTCCCGTCGTATTCCTTTCTTGAGATTACGCATTACGCATCCAGCCAACGATCGCAATCACCCGATGAAAATAATGTGCTCTGTTTTATCTCTGACCATGAAATTCAGGCCCTTCTGTAACGATTGACGACACAAAGAAGAGAGCAGCTTCTTTGAGGAAAATCGAAGGGACACGAAAACGGGCGTCGGGCTTAGTGACTAGAGAAGACGTCTATCTCAGCTTTAGAAAGGTACGAGATATAGATGAATGCCAGACGAGAGCATGGATTATTCGTCTATAAAGTATAAGCTGTTGACAACAGTTACAGTGGAGTCAAGTAGATAGAGCCATCAAATAAAAATGTAAACAAAGATTAAGCAGCAAACAGTCGAACACGCCAACAAAGATCGATATTTTGATGTTGATGTTTTTATGAGATCTAATCCAGGGACACAGCAGCACATACACAGCAGAACGGCGGCCGGATTTCGGCGGGCCGTGCGGACCCCAGCCGGAATACTGAACGCGCCCGGTGGGACGGGCGGACCCTGCGTCGACGAGCGCGGCGCGCTGGTTTCGGACGGACGGCCACCGCGGCCGGCAGACAGCGGGTCGCTAGCAGAATACTGGACTGGCTCCACCGACAACACACCCCGCATACACAAGCAACAAGACGGACACAGAGACAGCGGCCGCTGCCGGGCGGCCGCGCCACCGCCGGGCGCCGGCCTACCAGCCGACCCCGAATATATAGAGATTTACCTATATACCCGGCAACACTGTTTGGCGCCAACTACACTGGGAATGTCGCGATCTTCAGAGGCGGGAGGCGGCTCGACGGCCGGCCGGCGAGACCCACCGCCCGGGCCACAGGCGGGTCGGGTCAGGTCAGGTCAGGCCAGCCACCCTGCGCCGCTCCGCCCTCACTCATTGCACGGTCCCTGGCAGGTCATTTCGACACCAGCCGGCCTCTTTTCACCCCTCCGGCCACTGTCCCCCTCACTGGCGGCGGAACACTAGCGCCGCGGAGATCATAGCGCCGACACGGCGCAGCTCGAGTTCGGTTCCGAGTCGCTAGGTGTCACTGTTGCAGTGGCTGTGGCCGAGTCGTCGCTGGCTGCTGGCGAGCCGCTGTCGGAGCGGGGTGGCTCCGTGGCCGCCGGCGGCTCCTGCTCCGAAATGAGCGGCGGGTCAGCCGTCTCGTTGGTCGGAGTTTTCATGTCGAGGATGTTGTCTACCTCAGACTCGGCGTCCACCTGTCGATCGAGGTCAGCGGAGGTCAACAAAGTTCACCGGGGTTCAGCAGAGGTTATCAGATATCAGCACCGGTCAGCAGTGTAAGCAGAGGTCTGCGAGGTCAGAAAGAGTCGGTAGTCTGTAGCAGAGGTCATCTATGATCAGCAAAGGTTAGCAGAGGTACGAAAAGGTCAGTTGAGTCCTCAGAGAGAGGTACAAACTCGTTCGTAATCACCAGAGGTCAGCGAGGTCAGACAAGGTCAGTAGGCTTAGCGGAGGTCAGTGGGGCCATGACAGGTTGCCCGAGGCTAGCCTGGTCTCTTACCTACACGTTTTCTCTGGCCCTGGTGCTCCTGCTCTATGAATGTACCCCTGAACCTCCCGGACCAGACTCTTACATATCCCTTTTTTTCTGGCTTGGATGCCCTGTCATATGAATCTACCCCTGACCTCCCAGTTCCCCTATATTTACCCCTGACCTTCCGGCTCCCCTATACGCACCCCTGCCCTCCCAGCTCGCTCGCTCACCTGCCGGGGCGGTACGACCGTCTGCAGCCGCTCTGACGAGTCGGAGCCGGCCGAGGAGCTCTCCGACAGGTCGGCCGTGAACTTCCGGCCCACCCTGGGTGACGGCGGTGGTCGGCGGGAGCATACCTGACAGTGGATGTGCTCACAGATCCGGCGGAACCGGCGGATGTTACCTGTTGGGCGGACGGGGGGGGGCGGGATATGTCATCAGTAAGGGTTTAAACAGCGTTGCAAGGTTGGTTCTGACGGACGGCGTCTTTCGTAGACCAGCTAAGTGCTGATCAACTTTTGTCGCTGTCATTCGGTAGCCCATGGCTTCACCAATACATTAGCTATCACTTGTTGAAGAAGGCCCTGCATTCCGCAATCAGCATTACGGAATATCCACGGTGGAGTGATACACATAGACAAGCCACAGCGATTTTGTATAATGAAGTTGGCACTGTTTTAGATGGAAATCCAAATCGTCCCGTCCAGAGGAGAAGTGAAATTGGAGCTCAGAACGGTTTCTCATCACACGCTGCAGTAATCCGATTAAAGGGGTGGGAGGAAAACGAATTTAACCCGCGCCCGGCTGGGGGTCCTGGATTTCCACGCCCTGCTGGGGGGGGGTGTTTGAACACCCCCCCTTGTAACTCGGCTCCTGGGCCACGTAGCGATACGCGGAAGGCGGCGTTCGAAAGAGCGTCAAAAATAATGAGGAAATCACTTCAGTCAATTTTTTGGTCAGGTCAAAGGTCAGGTCACCAGAGGTCATGAAAGGCAAAATTTCGCCGATTTCCAGGTCGAATGTCGAAAATTTCCAAGAAGCCAACGCATAACTCGAGAACCAATAGAGCTACAGCGCCGCAGAAAAGCGCATTCGATAGCCCTATTAAAGCCCTTTCTGTGTAATTCTCTCAGATTTGACCTAACTTCAACGGTTTTGCCTGTAGAGGGCAAAAATTGCAAAAATAGCCGAATTTTTCGGAAACAGTTTTTCTGCAATAACTTTTGACCCAAGCCTTATACGAGCTTACTTTTACCAGCATTGTGTTCCTCTCGTCAAGACGCATCGAATGAACTATAAGTTGACCTTGAAAGGTCAACTTGAAAATTTGACCTCAGGTCAAGGTCATGACCTGACCGGAAAGGGTCATGTTGCATATCAGTCGATCCGTATCGTCAAGCTGAACACATCTAAGGCATTTTCATCGCTCTAGTATGCCTCTATCAAAAGTTATTTGCGAAAAACTGTTAGATACCATTCGTGACCTAAGATGACCTCAGGGCATAAACAAGGGTCACGGACACCATTTTCATGTTCAGTGTGTCTAAACCACTTGTAATTCGGTGTTTGGGAGTGTTTATAATGTCTTTTGTCCAAAAGAGGCGCATTTCAATTTTCTCCCATTGACTTATAATGGGGAGGTCGCAAAATTGACCTGACCTTAGGTCATCGATATCAAAATTCTGAGATAAACATTTTGTACATGCTATTGCTCTTAGCAATCGCTGAAAGTTTCAAAGCGTTCGGTCACTCGGTGTAGCTATGACAGACATTGAAAGTTTTTTATGAGGTGAGGTCACTTCAAGTGACCTGGTGACCTGACCTTGAATGACCTTGGTCTGAAATTTTCACAACATGTGTAGAATTGATGTATGATAAGGTGTACCAAAAACGGCGGCGCGGAGCGCCGCCGTTTTTGAGATATTTGCGAAAAACCACAAGGGGGGGTGTTCAAACACCCCCCCCCCCCCAGCAGGGCGCGGGTTAATTTAGAATGATTATGCCACCAGCTGCATTAAATTGAAACATCCGTGACACCACCTCCTCTATGGTGTGGATACCAGTAGGAAAGTGGGAAAATTATATCATACCAGCGATACTCTATATTAAAGTTGCTAGTTACTTAGCATATGTTTCGCTTTTTTCATCCCACTGCAGACGAATGGTCAGCAGACTGCAGACGAATGGTAAGCAGACTTTGAGTACAAGGGACAATGAGGACAAGGGACGATCCAAATTGAGTATCTCACCGCAGACTGGAAATTAAATTACGTTATCTTACCGTCAACAGGCATCTCACTCCGTTATCTCACTCACCGGAGACGAGTGAGAAGTTGATGGCGTAGAGGCACTCGTCGTCGCCCTGTGTGACAGGCGTGATGTCCACCTGGAACCGGACCTGGCGCTGGAAGACGGCCGGTCCGGCGGCGCCGCGCCGGTACTCGACTCGAAACGACATCGGAGACGTGACGCTGTGGCTAAGATCGGCGATCTGAACGCAGAGACGGGAGGCAGGTCAGATGGAGGAGATCATAGGCTAGATGGAGCAGGTAACAAGGTCAGAGGGAACCTGCCACAGGTCAGATCGAGTACGTCAAAGGTCAGACAGTACAGCGCTTAGAGATGGAGGAGGTCACAGATCAGACATGGAACCGTTATGGTCTGACGTTCAAGAGCAAAAGTCAGACAGAGCAGATTCTCGACAAAACAGTACATATATGTCACAGTCCAGACAGCAAGGGTGGTCAGACACCCGACCGGCCAGTGCAGTGGCGAGACACGGGCATACGTATAAGACGGCACGTGTCTGCAATTTGCCTTGAAGAGACGCTCTTAGGCCCGGTTGAAGGTCGACGATCCGCGCTCAGTGTTTTATTAAGGAAAACTAGCCGAACCAGATCGATCTAATTCCGCTGAATCGGGTCCGTCTCGGTCGTAAAGTTCGACTGGAGGCTGCCATCCTCCAAGTTGGATCGGCCGGTCGCGGAGCATGGGGTTTGATCGTAGTCTTCATGCAGAAGGAAGGGGCCGATACCATGTGAATCTTCACCTGCACAAGCCCGGGACGAGCAGGAGAGCGTATAATGGGCTTATTTATAAATATCTATTCGAGCATATCACTTATCACTGGTCACTGATCAATCACGAGACAAGTATTTGGCGCTCTGCCTAGCTCCTGGAGCAGTACTTTAGCTTCATCGTCTGCCAACTTCAGCAGAAAGGAGAGCCAGCCAGCCAGCCATTTAACTGACCAAGTTCGCAAGCACCGAAAGAAAGTCTCACAGGCCGTTGGGAACTCGTTTCCCTCAAGCAACTGGCAAGCTTTCAATCTGCACAGACGCTTTTAATGCAAAATGCACGAACAGTTGAGTCGAGCTTACGTAATAGGTACTTGGAGGGTCATCGGAAACAGTTGCGGTTTAATTTAATAAGTGTCGCAAACGTCTGCGGTAAGTTTTGGCATCACTTTAGGAATGCCTAGTTAGGGCCGAAGAAGACAGCTTGGTTTGAATGCCCGGAGAGCGCCAGCAGCGGTCTGGTCTGCGGCGTCCGGAAGGAGCTGTTAAACTGATTCTACATAATGCCCGGAGGAAAACGATGCGGCTTGATGAGAATATGCCAAGGGAGGTAGCGCTCTAGTCCGGACGACCAGAAGAATACAGCAGCCTTGTCGACACACCTTTCTGTATGCATATTGTACACGAATGCCAAATTCTTCAGGAGTGAATGGGCTCTTTACCATCAGATTTATTTGATATACGGATCTCACCCGGCTAACACGTCAAATCCGGGTCATAGCTGATGATGTTTATGGCAGGGCCGTTTGGCACACAGATCGTGTGTCGGTGTCGGTACTGCTTACATGCCCATCTATATGAGCGCAGAGCACCACGTTTCACTGACAGGAATTCACCAGCAAAACGGATGTCTGCCAAATATAGCAGCGAGCTGTGCGACCGGTGAATCAATAAAACAGCGAATCAGGCGACTGATTAAACTATGTAAATGCGAATATGTTACCGCGCTGTTACGTTTTGAAGCGATGAAACTTTCATAGATAATACTTATATATTCTTATCCGATCCATTGCAAACGAATCCTAGAAATTATTAATCAATAGGTATCATATTGCATTGGCAGCTTATCGCTGAATGGCTGAACACCAAAGAGTAAGATATTTGATAACGGAGCCATCTATTCACATATTTTGATAGCAAAAAGAAAAGATACCTATAGGAAAACAACCAGACAAGGGCTCATCCGAGCGGGGCTGATTTGTTGTAAGCTGAAACTGGTGCTTCCTGTGTTGAGATATTTATCTTTTCGGAGACGATGCTGTGCTGATAAATTGCTCTGTCGGCCTCAATCTCGAGTTTGATGGACATCAGTTACACTGGAACCCTGTCTCTGACAAATGGTGGCGGTGTCGGTGTCAGACTTTTATATTCCACAACATTTTTCATTCATCGCTGTCCATCAAAACGTTGCACAAGGAAATATTGGTCTTCCTTTTAGATCAACATTCAGCGCTGCTCAGCATGTCATAGTTTTATCTCCATCCGAGGCTCATCTCTCCTTGATAAATCCATGTGAGCTCAGATCTTATTTTGTCTCGGCCCTACTACCATCATTTCAGCCCACCTACCGATGATTGACTGATGATCGATGGGCCAGATAAGCATTAACTACCTTCTTCAAAGCTAGCTCATGCAGTCATGCTATAGTACGTCTCCTTGCTACCATCTGCCTTCGGATGCCCTGGCCCATCTGCAGTCTCGCGTATCGAACCCCAGATTGGCTGTATGTTGCTGACGCCACCACCGCCTGGGACCCATCGCCATCCGCCATTGGTCCAGCCTCCAGTCCGTGTTCCGGAAGTGACGTCATCACTTCCGGGCGGCCGCCGGATGACCGCCGGAAGACCCGGGATCCGGGATCGGTCGTTGTTGGGTTGCAGGGAGACTGCTCGGGTGTGCGTTCTCGCTAGGACTGGGACGGGAGCGCCGCGACGGTGTGGTGGTGCTTTTAGTTGAGATCGTCTTACTTGATGGGTGGTTTCGGCGTAGTCTATTCGTTTTGTCTGAGAGTGTGCTCGTCAACATGTGTCTCCGCGTGACAATTCGTTTCTCTGTTGTCTGACTGTCCATCTGTCAGACTGCTCGTCTCCCCGTCTGTCCGTCTGTCCGTCTGTCCGTCTGTCCGTCTGTCCGTCTGTTCGTCTGTCCGTCTGTCCGTCTGTCCGTCTGTCCGTCTGTCCGTCTGTCTGTCTGTAGATCTGCCCGTCTATTAATCTGCCCGTCAGTTGTCTGCTCGTCTAATCTGTCCACCCATTGAGCCTTGCGTCAGCCTCATGCGGCCCACATTGCTCACTCAGCCCATCCACCCAGCCCCTATACAGTCTCAGTCAGCCCTCTGACAGCCCGGATCCACCGGAGCGCTCGCTGCGTGACTGCTCTGTTTCCAGTTCCGGGAGGACCGTCACTGTCACTCCTATAAACTGATGTCGACAGTGTGGAATGGGATGGCCATCACCAGAGTCGGTACACATCAGGTTACATCAGGCAAACGTCCAGGCGCTGACCGGCGGGCGCCGCCCTCTACCTCCGGATGACCCCTACGCATTAGTGGGATCGAACTGGACTGAACTGTGATCACTTTAGTGATCGCAACGGACCAATCCGGATAGTACAGGGTAAACCAGGGTGAGTTGACTGTATCGGTACTTTGGATACTTCTGCAACGGGGTACAGCGCACTGTGCAGCGCGCCTTGGACAGTGAACTCTGGAGCATTCTCGTCGTTCTACGGTCCACCACATGATCGAAGTTTGCACTACGCCCTTATACAATTTACTAAGCATCGTTTCGATACCGTGCTGTCCTACCACCACCATTTAGGTGTGTCATGCCACTGTGCTGCCGTTGTACCGTACCAAAACGGCTCGCCGCGGTCGGAGAAGGTAACCACGAGTATACCGGCCAGTCGACCGACGGACCGCCGCCGCCTCTCCATCGTCAACGAAACACGAAGCCAATCGGCGCCTACATCATCAGCGACGCAGTGCCGGCTCCCGTCCCAACGACCCGAGACCCCCGGAACGGACCGAGACTAGCGCACCAGCGCAGTCCTAGCGACCACTTCCCTGCGAACCGACTGTACCGAGGCCGTCCAATCTGACCTCACGGGAGCGATACAGCGCAGCAGCATTACCGTAATGACGCGACATGGATATAAATGGCGCCGAAACCGACTGTATTAGATTGGCTTCTTATTTATGAACGCCAGCGGCGCGCAGCGTAGCACATAGTGGGTAGTGGGTACGCTGATGGTATCTACTTACGCAGCAGACCGGGGAAAAAGATATGATGTGACAAAGTTAGTGGATCTTTAGCTAGAAATCATATGTCTTTATGCAAGCATACGTGCGAGGGAGTACATCTGGCATTCTGGCAGCTCTTCCTGGAACAAACGGCCTGCATCCAAATAGCAAGCAGAAATAATTGTTAATCAATCCTGCCATCCAGTGAAGGAAAGCATGAAAAGGTCATCCTTTCATCCTACATCAAATGGGTTTATTACACCGAACCAGTTCATCCTCTGGAATAAATAGAATTGAGAAGTGCCAGCTCACGTCGGGACTCGGGCTATTTGAATGAAACATTTTTCCTAGCTTGAGTCATAGATAACAGTAGAACTACTGTTATCTTTGCTTGAGTCAACAATTGCATGAGATACGGTATATGCTCTCTCATCGCCCACCTAGCTAACGCCCTCACTGACACGTTGGAACCGCCCATCGATTGCTGATTTGAGGTGTCCGGCGGACGATTGCACCAGTGTAGCTGGCAACGCCTAAATCACACATCCGGAATTCAGAATTCAGTAGGTCCGGGTCTGGATCCGGTCGTATCAAATACGGTCGTCGGGTTCCTTCTTTGCTGACCTAATTAGTAACCTTACAGTACACACGCTTTTTGGGACACATCTCCATGGTAGACCATCCAAAGTCCTAGCTATCTCATTACCAACAAACGCACCATTTTGCGTAGTTAAATGCATTGATACCGTCCCCGTAGACGCATGCCTGCACTAACCGTTTTCAATGAATTTGCTAATAATACCCACGACTTTATCATAAAATAATTACCCGACAGTACAGCATTAACTGTGCGACTCGGCAGCCTGATCAAAGGGTTCAGTTGTGTGGGTGTTCACTTCTCCGTGGCGACGTATCACATCCGTGTGACCTAAATACGTTTACACGTATGTGCGTTTCCTCACCCTACGCGAGAGGGCACACTGGAGTACTAATTACATTTATCCGGTAATCGCCAACGGGTAAACACTTTGATTGTGCTGAGAGCTACAAATACATGCATAACAGCACACAAAAGTATGTGCTGCATCGTGGGTATGAGCGTAAACTGGCAAGAAAGTCGTCCTCCCAAGGGCAAAATGCATGTCACATCCCAATTAAGCATTTTTAAAAGCGTATGTGAGACACTTATCTAATTATTCAGAGGTGATAGGAAGAGGGCTACTCACATGCTGAAAAGAGCATCCCTTGCCTCTCCGCGACCACGCCGCAACTTACCGAGAGGAACGAGTAAATGAGGTCGGCATTGACATCACTCACCGAGAGGAACGAGAGGATGAGGTCCGGGCCCCGCAGTATCTCACCGAGAGGAACGAGTGGATGAGGTCGGCCTTGACGATGGCCAGCGGCTTGTTGCGCATGATGACCGTGTAGCTCTCGTCGCGCTCCGAGCCCATCAGCGTGCCGAACCACGAACGTTTAGTTAGCTCCGGCGACGACTCCGGCGTCAGACGCGTCTCGTCGGACGGTACTGAAACGATCGCGAAACGGTCAGACCGAGTGCCACGTTTCTTCGGACGGTACTGAAACGGTCAGACAGTGGTCAGACCAATTGTTGCGTGTCGTCGGACGGTATACTGAAACGGTCGAGGAATGGTCAGACGCGTCTCGTCGGACGGTACTGGAACGGTCAGACAATGGTCAGACCGAGTGTCGTGTCTTATCAGATGGTAATTGAACGGTCACACAATGGTCAGACCAATTGTTGCGTCTCGTCGGACGGTACTGAAACGGTCGAGGAATGGTCAGACGCGTCTCGTCAGACGGTATACTGGAACGGTCAGACGATGGTCAGGCGCGTCTTGTCGGACGGTACTGGAACGGTCAGACAATGGTCAGACCGAGCGTCGAGTCTCAGATGGTAATGAGATGGTCGCGAAATGGTCAGACCAATCGTCGCGTCTCAGACCGTACTGGAACGGTCACACAGTGGTCAGGCCAATTGTTGCGTGTCGTCGGACGGTTCTGGGATGGTCGCGAAATGGTCAGACCGATGTCGCGTCTCCTCAGATGGCACTGGGATGGTCACAAAATGCCCAAGGAAATGGCCACCACTACGGTCAGACGGGTCTGTTGCGATTAAACTGAAATCATGATTGGTTAAATTGAAAGATTAAAAGAAAATGCACACACAGAAGGTGCCCTTTGTAATTGGTTTATTTTCTGGCATAATCATCTGTTTTATCTTTATTTGTATTGCAACACATCCGAAAATAACGCCACCCTTAATTTCAATTCGAGGAACATGTGACGCTTCAGACTAATATGGCAGGATGTGATGACAATAAGACAACTTTCCTAAAAACTGCTGCACAAATATTATTCTGGCGAAACGGAAATTGTCGGAGATGCTGCGGGATTCTGGCATCATGTAACACAAAGTTCCAGATATCCGCTAGACATCGCATCTAATATGTCCCCGCATCAGCCGCGGTCGTCCGAACATATTCAGACCCGGTGGTGCATTCGGTAACACGACTCCGACCCACCCAGATGTGGTGTCAGTTCCGACGACCGCCCACACGGATCTGACGGCGCAAATCCGACAGTGTAAGTAACAGCGTGGGCTGGCGACATTGCGAGGGTCGGGGCTAGTGATATTACGAGTGTGGGCTCGTCACATTACCAGTGTGGGCTAGTGGCATTACCAGTGTGGGCTAGTGACGTTACCACTGTGGGCTAGTGGCGTTACAGAACAGGCGGAGGATGGTCAGATGACGACACATTATAACAGCAATCGGCGACACACGTCTCTCAGTGAGACAGCAGCTACACCTGTGTCGCCATTCATCCCCAATAAGAGCGACGAACTAGCACAGAGGTTCTGTCATGACCGTGCCGGTGGACGCGCAGATACTTATTACTGACCTCAGATGAAATGATTTTGGCCGGGTCTGACGAAAGCTTGGCTATTGCTGATGAAAACCGGCCGCCGAATTCAGCGGCCCACTCGGCCAGAGATGTAAGGCCGTGATCTGTTCTACTTACGGCGGCGTCCGCTCGACAAAAACAGTTCGCTCGGGAGACACAAATGAAGATGGAACGAGGCTACCAGAACACTTACAATTTCACAGAGAGGCTTTCTGCCGTGGACACCCCAGAAAACACAACAGCTCACAACAGCTTATTAATGGTGAGCACACATGTTTTACATACAGCTACATGGATGTTCACTATTCAGTAAAGCATGACCGGAGCATTTCATCCACCGAGACAAATTGCTAATTCTCGGGTATTCCGAAGTTGCTGACAGCAGTCATAAAAACTCGCCTGAACGGTCATCAGTCATGGCTTTCAGCTGGGCCATGAATAATGGCAGCCCGGGTCCATCAGCATAAGATCTGCATCAAAATTCCATCGTGTTCGAGCACCGTCTCTCGATTTTCGTCTGGCCGGCGCGGTGCCAGGCGGGTCACTTGGTCAGGGGCGGGGCAGCGGTCTGATGGGCGGGGCAGTCCACCGGACCGGAAAGCCTCTGAGGGCGACGTTTCCTCCACTATTGTCTTCGTTTGTCCAGAGCTGGTTCCGCCAGAACGGACAGAACAGAAGTGAGCATGGGACCGTCATCGCGGTTCAGAGTCAGATAGAGGCTGGGCTCCGCCCTACCATCAGTACCAGCCGCTGCTGGCGGGGGCGGCGGCGGCGGCGGGGGTGGGGGCGGGGGCGGCGCAGAGCGACCCGGCAGGACCGGCGGGCGGGGGCGGGGGCGGGGGCGGCCGTGACCGCGGCGGAGGGCGGCCCGTTTTGGGCGGTGGCCAGCCGAGTGGGTCAGGATCAATAGCAGCAGCAGCGCCGGGACAGCGGCCCCATCGGAGGACAAACGGTCTGCCGGCCTGTCCCCTGCGACCGACACACGGGATGCTGTGACCGACGGCACTGATAGGACAGTACGGAGAACAGCGCAAAAGACGGCGAGTCTCCGAACAGTGCCGGCCCGGCCGACGTCGGCCTCCAGGTATATTAGACACAAAAAGGCAGCCAATACCGCTTTTTATGAGCTAAAAGCAGTAAGCACCATGCAATAAAAACGCTGAACGATTGAGGATGTAAGTGCAGCAAGAAAAATAGCATTTTATCTTGCAGATGTATATAGGATCAGGGAATTGTAACAAAGCAAACACGAAAGCACTCCGAATGTTGCTTACCAGAACATTAACTAATATTCATTCCTAGCAAGTTCCCTCTGTCTGTTTACGACAGGGCAAATGTCCAACGAACCGAAACGGCGATTAATAAGCCCTTGTGGCTGTCATATTAATGCCCTCTGGGCGGCACAACAACAGACGGTCTTTGTCGTCACTCTGAGTGGATGAAGAATTGAGCCGTTTCCCAGGCCAGCTCATAGGCCATAACTGAGGCGGAATCTCAGCGACACTAGTGTAACTCTGGTCGCTTGGCTGTTCTCTCTCTCTCTCTCTCTCTCTCTCTCTCTCTCTCTCTCTCTCTCTCTCTCTCTCTCTCTCTCTCTCTCTCTCTCTCTCTCTCTCTCTCTCTCTCTCTCTCTCTCTCTCTCTCTCTCTCTCTCTCACTCTCTCTCTCTCTCTCTCTCTCTCTCTCTCTCTCTCTCTCTCTCTCTCTCTCTCTCTCTCTCTCTCTCTCTCTCTCTCTTTCTCTCTCTCTCTCTCTCTCTCTCTCTCTCTCTCTCTCTCTCTCTCTCTCTCTCTCTCTCTCTCTCTCTCTCTCTCTCTCTCTCTCTCTCTCTCTCTCTCTCTCTCTCTCTCTCTCTCTCTCTCTCTCTCTCTCTCTCTCTCTCTCTCTCTCTCTCTCTCTCTCTCTCTCTCTCTCTCTCTCTCTCTCTCTCTCTCTCTCTCTCTCTCTCTCTCTCTCTCTCTCTCTCTCTCTCTCTCTCTCTCTCTCTCTCTCTCTCTCTCTCTCTCTCTCTCTCTCTCTCTCTCTCTCTCTCTCTCTCTCTCTCTCTCTCTCTCTCTCTCTCTCTCTCTCTCTCTCTCTCTCTGCTCTTTATCTTTCTCTTTCCTATTCTGTCTCTGTTTCCTTCTCTGTTTCTTTGTCTGCCTCTGTACGGCTCTGTCTGCCTCTGTCTCTGTCTCTTTTCACCTCTCCTGTCACAGTCAGCCGCTCCATGTCAACTACAGAGGACTGCTTCTCTCTGGACCATCCCATTTGAGACCCGCCCGCGCTATAGCTCCCTCGTACAGGCGCAGTGACACATGGCGCCAGACCCAACCAACAGAATCAGCATCACTAGACTTGTTCCTTAGCTCGTCCAGCTATGAGCTGGTCAACCATACATGTGACGACTAACCTCACTCCGGCAATTTAACATGCTTCATTACAAAAGCGTCCGGAAATCTGAGCACAGTTGAAATCTGAGCACAAAAAATAGCTCGGGATATCCGTTCGGTGTAATTTTTAAGTTATCTATGGCCAAATGCATATCAAACCACTTAAAGGGACTATCCCACCTTTAACATGGGTTTTGAGTTGAGATAGCCAAGTTTGCGGCGAGGTTCAGAAACCACTATCTATCTAGGTTGCAACCCCCGCGGCCTCTTGGTGTTGAAGAAATTCGTTCCCTTCATTTGAAAATGGGCCTTGCGCAAGGCCCTATCTTCAACATGGAGCGACCGTTAGTGTGACGTCACCTCGTTTAGTCATTCTGATTTAAATGGTTTTGTTCGTTGAAAAATCGCTTAAAACTTGGTCTGAACTTTGTTGTGGTGCCTACAGAGTAAAAAGAATCAGCTTTATGACAGTAATGTGGCCTGGGGAAGGAGGTAATTTTGGGCTGTGACGTCACATGTTTGAAAGTTTGTGTTTGGAATATGGGAAGCCTAAGATGTTTAATGAAAAATAAATATCAGAACCGTGTTCCTGGTCATCCAATCTATAAAGTCGGGCACAATTTAACTGGTTTTAACAACATTTTAGAAGGTGGGATAGTTCCTTTAAGGAGCTCGGCACATGGCTCAATCGTGCTCGCCCCAGTGATAACTTCCTTGATGAATAAAAGACAACTTAATTGATTCAGCTGAGTATGGTCTGTGGTTCAAAGCACAGCCATAACATACATTAACGTTACCATTGTTGCATCGTGAATGGTCCATCCATCATAGTTAGTTCATGGCATTCAGTAAGCAAAGCCCGAGCTTTAGGTGGTCCATTTACGATGCTTCTGCGCAATAACCATCTATATAACTGTGGACGGTGTGTGAGCCTTCTTATTACCAGATACGGTTCATCACATTCGGCGCCATTCGAACGGCCGCGGCTCTCAACTGACGCCATGGAGGGCCATTGCCGTCCGGCCCCAGTCCTCACCACTCATTCCGAAGAGGCTCAACGCCAGCATCACAAACCAGCGTGGCTTCAGACGGGTAAGGCTGTCGGTAGGCACCTCGCCAGGCTCAGCTCCAGCCACCGGCAAATATTTCGTGAAATATGTCCCGTCTACTGAAGGAAATGAGCATGTGAGTTCATTGGGTGGTGTGGAGAATTATGGCACTCATGACGCCTTAATCAGAATGCGGCCGACGTCATCTAGCGTTGGGTTGAAAATCCAATTACTGGCCGAGAGGAAAGCCGGGGCAATGCCCTTGTGGTGAATTGTTATCACATCGGTTTAGTGTAATAACTTGTAGATCGTCCCTAAATGAACGTAGACATACTTGTGTCGCTCAGAATATGAACTTTACATTACATACGGGCTGACAGCAGGGGCCTGAATCACCCGCTACAGGCACGCCGCCTTGCTACGGGTTGCCGTATCACCGTATCACCAAGGTATCGCTTTGTCGAGTATCGCTGTATCATATCACACCAGCAGCGCGCTATGAATTTCATACCTGTCTTACAGACTACCTAGCTCAGTCAAAGCTGTCGGCTTTCTCGATTGCGATCACTCCTGCCCTATGAGGGCAGAACGATCACAAGTTTTCAACTATTCCAAGAAACTTTTTTATTCATTGCCTGCGATGTAAAACTGCATATGAGCCCTCTGGGTGATCTTTGCATACCGTTCGCCGAGGTTGGGGCCATTTAGAGGCACAACAGCATCATCGCAGCGCACGCCGGGTGAATATTGCCCGATATGATAAGGGCCAGAATCCTCCTGAGAGCGGAGATGTTACACGCCCCGCTGGTGTAGCACGGTGGCAAATATTTACACATGTGTGCCCGGATATTGTGGACATGAGGCAGACAGGCCCACTAAGCCTAATCAGCGACAGACTCACGGCAAAGAAATGTTTGTACAACGGTAGAGTATGTATTGGGTCTGGAGCTGAGAGCAAAAAAGAAGAGACAAGGAGGAAGAAAGAAGACAAGAGAGATGTGCTCCTACGCTCCGGATACTGCGGCGCAGATCAGTGGGTTTCTCGTTTAGCAGATTTATCGAAGATCGGTTTCCTTTGATGTCAATCTCTTTCGCCAAAACAAAAAACTGTCTAGGCAATGAGTGCCATCAAATCTCTCCATAATTACCTAAGTTGATTGGTACTGAATGATATAAAGATGACTTGACAGAACGCTCTCTCGGACTGACCTTGCAGTTTGCGCCGGTGGAAGCGCGGAGATCCCATCAGCGAGTTCTTGATGGTGTTGAGTCGCGACCGCCAGTAGGCGGGCGCGCCGTAGGGCGAGGCCGGCGGCGTGGCCAGGTCGTCCGAGGCCGGCCCCGGCGACGGGCGCGTCAGCAGCTTGGGCGACGGCAGCGGCGACACGGTCGGTGTCACCGTCGATGACGACAGCGGGCTGAGGCCGGAAGAGCTGCTGGGCCGCCGCCGTCTGCGGGTGAGGCGGGGACGGTGCGGTCAGGTGCCGGTGGGTATAGTTGTGTGTGAGCCACCGTAGATCACCTCACCCTTTCTCATTACCCCTTTACCAGCCTCCAGAGACACAGCCGGTGGGGAGCGATCATTGAGTGGTCCCCGGGCTCGTCCAATCATATAGAACAGGCCCTATAACCCAAATGGATTCAAAACTGCATCCTGGATGATGGAAAATAAAGCCAACCCCAATCCTTCATAAGTGAGCATGATGTCAGCCAAACATCAATAACAAAGCAATCGTAAATGAGAGCACAATAAAAACAGGACATATATGGCTCTCAATCAGCTAATGGATAAGCTAGCATCAAATGAAAAACCACTGCTTACATTCGAGATGAATGTCGTCAAAACTACTCGTATAACTCCGATGAATTTGGTTGTGCTCTACATTTATCTACATGACGTAGTTACGAGAAATTGTTTAACGAGATTCGGCAAAGTAAAACTGACAATATGATTTTCCCAAAGAAGTGGCTTGTCAATGAGTTAACATTCTAAAAGTCATAAGCGCAATCATATTTTCTTATTTTTTACACATTTGCAACGCAATTAAACCGTTTTACTAACGTTTTAATAACATTCGCCAAGGTAACTTAGATTCACCATAAGGTACTTCATTACCGTCCGAAGCAACTGTCTGCCAGAAATGATTAATTACAGCCATTAAAAGCCCTCCAATCAAACCGGTTGGCGATTCGGTGAGAAACGGGTAATGAGCACTGAACTTGACTGCTTCGGGCGCTATTGGAGAATGGAAAGTATTGGAAAGAAGATCAAATAGGCTCCGTATTGCACTTGATAGGAAGTAAGGCCGTGAAAGTGATCAACGTATGTAAGGTATCGAAACACCAGTGAGTTCAATGCACATGCAATGATGAAAATATAACTATGCGTGAGTCCGGTATGGATAATTGGGAAGCGTAGCAGTGTCTGTATGCGCTCGGTACGTACTGGTGGAAGTGTCGTCGTGGTATCACCGGCGAGCCCTCGCTCAGCTGTTCGTACTGGTGCGTGGAGCCGTTCAGTTTGTACGAGTCGACCCTCTTCCGCGGCGGATCGGCCGACTCAGACCTGTTAGTATAAATCAGGGTCAGGTCGGGTCAGTTGGCGTATCACCTCACATAGGCGCACGAACTTCAGACGGCACGTGAAGGAAACAGCAAGACAGGCTGCAGCGAGTATATAAGTAAACTATAACGCGATAGTCTGTGATTGGTTCGGGGCGATAGCGACCGACTAGTCCACCAAAGCTCACGTCCACTCCGAGCAAACGCCAGCTTAAAAGGACTAGGCAAAACCGTCCGTTCTTACTTATTTTACAAGCTATTGGCGAGAGAAATAATTGGAGCATAGGCTCCAGTTATAGGCCCGTTGTCTGATTGCCCAGTTCCCGCAGCCGCACGGGGGTAGTCGCGCAGAGGCGGATCCAGCTCAGAGGTTTGGGGGGAGGGGGCAAACCATAAAAATTTATCGATTCTTTCCATGCATCGTCCATAGGCGTAATGTTAAAATCATGCCGTTTGGGGGGGGGCAAATGCCCATTTTGCCCCCCCCCCCTGGATCCGCCACTGTAGTCGCGAATCCCACCGGACGCACACCCACCTGGCTCTCATCAGCGCCTCTGCGTCATCCTCGTAGGCTGGTTTGCGCCGTTTCCGCTCCAGCAACAGGAAGTAGATGACCTTTTCGGTGTTGTGGCTGCAACGAGAGATGGAGTGGTTCCCTTAACATTCGCTACAGTACCGCCGCCAATCAAAGCATGAGTGCACTGGGGGCAGAAACAACAGTAGCCCTGCTTCGGCGAAGTTGAAATGTCAGTAACCATTTATCAAATAGAAGCCATACTGCTGGCTCACATGCTGAGTGCAGAACTACAGACAAAAGCTAGAGCACAATGAAAGTAATGGAAGTAAGTCCGGCATCGCCAATTTTTTCAGTCATCTACGCAGGTATAACAGCCGAAATATCGATGTTTTTAGCGGCGCTATGCAGTACCTTTGAGTAGCTTAGCCTCTGGTATAGCATACTGCACAGACGGGATGTGTGGTATGTTTCTCCCGGAAATAACACTAATGGAATCGCGACCGACTGATCCACCTCAGTAGCCCTGATGGTTCGTCTCCAGGATCTGACCAGCTCAGCCAACCATCAGTTGCTATTTATCTGTTGTGAAACTCGAACCCGGATTTAGTCCAATACACCCAATGTCAACAGGAACATAGTCGACTGCTGCCTTCACCGTGATTTAACAATATGGACGTCGGCACTGAGTTGTGTTCTGAAAACAGTGTAGAGTAGTTCAGTTTTGAGGCTTGTATTGAGATGTGTCCTGTTGTAGAACGGAGCTATTAGAACCTTTACTGGAAAGTGGAAAATTTCATATATTCAGTCATCGGAATACTTGTATATGTTCCCGAGACTGCAGCACGCAGGACTGAAGAAACCTCCCAAGTTTAACTTTGGATACGCAATGCAACTTCTCAGTGAGACAGTCAGGAATGCGAAACAATTTCCAGCGTATATTTGTTAAATCTGTTTTATGGCAAGAATCTGTAAAGTTCTCTGTTCATGAGGCAGGCGTGGACCATCTTCACAATTGTGTGGAAAGCCGAAAGTTTGAGATCAAGCGACACGCACGCTATCAAAACGCACGCAACGGCACTATTATATAATTAAATAAGAACCAGTGGCACTCTTTCCTCCGTTCTGAAGACACTCAGCCTCAGAACTTGGTCAACTTCCAGAGGATTCAGCTGCCCTCTCTCCCGTACCAGGAGGACAAAGAGGCACTCTCCCTACGCTACCATGATGATTTTGCGACTCCGCGACACACGGCCGCCGCCGTAGTGCCAAGTTTGTGATAACACGGACCGCGTTCGAGAGGCGCTACCAGTATTTACACAGAACACAGTGTCCCGCCAGTCCCGTCCTTCTATTTATCTGGCATACGGGAGAGAATTGTCCTGAATTGCCCCATACGCAGCGCGTCAGCCATCGCCTGCTTTATTGCAAAAAGGTTGCCGATACGTGCGTGGTTAATTTTGATCCAGTGTCCTCCTCGAGAGAAGTTCAGAAGAGAGCCTTCCCACGTCGCGGTCGATGCTGACGCCTGAAGAGGGTGGAAATTGAACGATGAGAGGTGGCAAGTGTCGTTGCGGCTGGCAGTTTCCCAGAAAGCTGCTCATTTCCCCTGATATTCCATGAACATCTCGGGGCCGACCGGCTGGGGAGGCCAGAGGGGTGGCCGGGATGGAGACGTAGGGGAGGGGAAGAACTAGCTAACGATGGCGACGTGATGATGTCGGGTCGACGATCTTTCTGACCGGCCATCGCCGTATGATTGCCGATCGGTGGTCGGAGGAGGGGCCGAGCAGGCAGAGGGAGGGATGAGGGCAGGGGAGGCGGGGAGAGCGCTGGGGAGGCCGGCAGGGGAGCGCTGGGCGGCAGGAAGGGGAGCGCTGGGCGGCAGGAAGGGGAGCGCTGGGCGGCAGGAAGGGGAGCGCTGGGCGGCAGGAAGGGCCAGTGCGTCAAGGATGGTGGAGCGCGCAGACTCAATATCCGGACCGAGCCGCGCCATTTCCCGCGAGACCCGCCGAGAGGGAGAGAGCGGTAGTGAGAGAGTGAGAGGAGAGAGAGAGGGGCCGAATTGAGAGAGTAGGCGGAGAGCCTGAGGCTGTATCGAGCCCCCGTGGCGCTAAATGGCAAACTTTGCTCATTAACCCGCGGCCGACGTCCGAGATACATCGGCAGACCGGGGCGCCGCCCAGAGAGCCGACAGAATGGAGCGAAGTTATATCATTGACGACACTCGAGTTGAGCCAGCCCAAACTGGTAGAAGTGCCCCTATTCAGCACACTATGCTGAGCTCACGTTAGCACACTTCTTATTTAAGCAATTGAATTAATTAGGACAACTTCGGCGTCCTATCCTGGTGTCATCCAAGGTAAAAAAAAAAAAAACAGAAGAGTTAACATAGCATTAAACAAGACAATAATTGTCGCATCTAAGCTTTCTCTTGAAAAAAAAAACGCTCGTTAATCTTCGCTCTATCACATCATTATCTCACTATTTGCGCCCCATTCGTGCCCGCTAAACCCGGCACCGTTCGTGGGCGTCGCACGGGAATCTCGTGACCAGCTCGGCCCGAATCGGACGGCCCTCAGAGACTGGCGGGATGATCAGGTTAGATGACGCCCTGAATGCAGCGCCAGAGTTCTCTCTTCAAAGTGCCCAACAAAGAAAATGGCCGCCCACATTCAGCACAGCTGGCGGCACCATTCAGCACGGAGAAATTCGCCACTGTTGACTCGTCCAAAAGGAAAGAGGCTTCATCTTTTGTCCAAGTAAAAGGATTTTTAAGCCGTCGAGCTGCCCCAAATTCTTTCTTCAAAAGGAATTCACAAAGAAGACGGCACATTCGTATAAATGTCTTGACACTGAGCTTTCTGGCGTATTCATTTCAGGTATTCATTACAGTAGGCATGCACCACAACCAACATGAGATAAGACATTGTTCGTAAATGGGTCTCTAAAACAAAATCAGCTAATGATGTCTTATCCTAGTCCTAGCTTGAGCTCGTTCCCTTCGTGCCAATACCTAGAGCAATGCTGATGTTCAATGACTTTTTCTATACTTTTTTAGAGAGTCGTTACAAGCCCGTTGGCAGTCGGTATAGGTACTGAAAACCCGTCCGGCACGCAATCGACCCCATGACACACGTAACAGTCACACCAAACTGATAAATCTCTGAATCACATGCCACTCACGTGGGGCTGAGCAGTTTCTGGACGAGGACCTCCTTGTCTTTGAAGCAGCCTAAGTGGGACATTGCTCGCAGTACGTCCGTGTCCAGCCGCTCCGAGCCGGGAATCACGTGCGTCTGCACCACCTCCATCATCGGCGGCTCGAGCTCCAGCTCGCCCTTGGAGCCGGCTATCACCCACGGATGTCGGTTGATCTCCCGCAGCTGGCAACAGACAGGTGCGAACACAGTCACATCAGAGGCGTTACAACTGTGCAGCAACATCGGTGTGCAAGGAGTCAATGCCAGTAGCAAGTTCAAGTATGTAAATGTTGCACGTTAGGCGGCACGGGCGGACATCGATAGCAGCGCCTCTATCGGTCACTAGGGAAAGCTGGGCTGTAGGCGACGATATACCGGCTGAGTTGTCACACGTTGAATAGGTTTATAGCCATCCGTCTTGTGAAAAAGTTGAACTTTTGCCTTTAATATTTCTACAGGCAATTTTAGAAGTGTCTTCACATGGATTACAAAACCGTTTAGGTTATTGTATTCACTTCAAGCCTTCCCTATTGTTCTTGATGATGCGGGAACTATTTCTAATTAGTGTTTCTAGCTTAGTAAAAGAACATACTGTGCAAACGATGAAAAAAGCATAAATGGAAGATTTTAAATGCAATTTTCTCTAACAATTAATGGTAAATTCTCTACATATCAAGGAAAAGGTGCATGCTATTTGATAATTTAAAGTTCTTGGGGCCAGTTGTTTTCTTCTTTTCTTACGTCGCCCCAATGGCCGCGAATACACTTGTGATAACGCCTATCGAACCCAACTGTAAGCTACCAATGTCCTAAATGTGCGTGACGTCGACGAGTGACGACTTGGATTCACGCTCCAGAGTGAATTTCCAGCGCGCAGTTCGGCAGCCCGCCAATGCGCGCTATGCGGCACAGCCTACCTGCAGGCGTAACTACTACTCTGCCATCTATCGGCGGGGATTACAAGCGACTCAGGGCTGGACCGGAGAATTGCAAGGCAGAGCGCTGCCAATGTTCAACACACTTTGATCACTAGAATTTTTCAGAATACTTATATAGCAGCAAATAAAGAAGATTTTCGTTGCTCACTGACATGCCCCCACTCATACACATTACAAACATCCAGCCAACGATGCTTCACAGCGCTTATCAAAGATCAATATTCAATCAAGAAAACTTAACGATGTGATGATACGCGCTCGATTAAAAAATAAAATAGACGTGTTTATATAAAAACACTTTCAGTTGAAAGTAAATGACATTTAATTGGTAACTGTTCCTAGTACTTCGAAAAATGCGTTTCCTTTCCGAAAACTCCGTCGATTAAAGAATCGAAATTGCTCGATTTGTTGACGTTGTCATTTCCATCGCTGCTAAAGCCGCCGACATCAGATCAATACCCCTGGACGCCTCCTGAGCCAGCAGGCTTAACTTGGATTTCCGCAGATGCCTATCAATGCGAGGGAGAGGCAAAACAACAGTCCCGCTCCAACTGATCAACACCGCATCGTGAAACTTTTACTGCGTCCGGAAACTCACGTAAGATGCAATATTCTAAACATGAAAATCACTGAGAAAAGAGCAATGAATATTTTAGACATTTTGAATTTTTTAAAGTCATCAACCAAAAGATGTTATGTTATGTACCTTGGAGTCAAGCAGCCATGTCAGGAAATTGTAAACATTTATCTTAACCAAAAACTCTGCTTACCTTGTATGAAAGTTTTTCATGTCAACAACAGAAGTATGATTTGAACAGCTGATGTGTGGGGACGTGTTCAAAGCCAGATGTCGCCAGTGCTATCACAAGAAGTTATAAACAATGTCCATAGCATAGCCCTCCCGACCATTGGACTTTCTGCCACTCTCTATCGCACAAAGGAGTGCCACTCCTCGCGCGCTCGACCATAAAGGACAAATTGCCAAACATAGGGCAGCTGTCCGTATTGTAGACACAAAGCGTTGTGAAAAAGCACGAAAAATCGAGTTCCCTGAACGCTTTTCTTTTCCCTTAAAACCAGAAAATACCAAGTTTGCATTGATTTGAATGTTTGCATACAAAAGGCATCGATGCTTTTTTGTGTCTACATACATATAATTGCTTGAAATGAAAAGACACCTTCAGGCTTCGAGCAAGATTGTCACCAACGAGTGTCTGAGACTGATGCCATCCCTAAACAAATATCACCTTTCATAAATAGGTGGTCACTTTCCCTTATCACGTCGCACCTGAGCAGCTAGGACGCCGAGACACCTCGATCGACACCGTTGCTAGCCGGAAGTGGGTCAGTTCCGTCCGCGTCGCGGCGGGTCGTTGGTTTAGGGCGCCGCCAATCAGCATCACGGGAGGCGGTATCACTGTGTCTGACACTAACTGAGGCGGGGCGCCGACGATAGCCGGCTGAAGTCGTCTGTCACCACAGCGAACACCGTCGAACCCGTGCCGACGAGCGCGACGAAACGACACCCATTTGTGGAGCAGGCGTGATGGGCCGAGACCTGTGCTTCAAAGCCACTTATGTATACCATAGCAGTTACTGGTGCAAGAGCTTTACAATCACATTTGTATCCAGCTTAACCCTCGCCCGCACATGCCATTTTCCCATCCTAGAACGCACATGGGGGGGGGGGGGTTGCCACCCCCCCGCGCCATTTCGCTCCTGTTGGAGATAGAGCTTCGCGGTAAGGACCAGAAAGATTCTTTGGGAAGAGACGAATCCAATGATACCCAGTTTTACCTTCTCAGGTCAGTCATTGACCTTCCAGGTCAGGCAAATTAAAAAATGTTGCTGTTTTGGGTCACCGTTGGATATCAAGTGCGCTGCTTAGCATTTGCCGATGACGATGCCGTTTTCTGGTGCCAAGCCAGCTAGAACCTCTTTGTAACACTACCCGACCAGATTTTTGCTGCTGAGGTCATTTCAGGTCAAGTTAGGTCAAGGTCAATTATATGTGTTTGTATGTCTGTGTGTGTCTGTGTGTATACTGATGTATGCACCGAGTGTTTATGTGTCCATATTACATGAAACCATGATCTGAGAAGCTTTTACCAAAAATGCAGTCAAAAAAATTCACGAAAAGTAAATTACGCTTGCCTAAAACGCAATTATTTTAGATGACCTAGGCTGACCTTGACCCTGACCTTGACATCAGTACATCGTCGAACAACATGTTCCATGATAGGTGGGAGGTAAGACTGGCAAAAAAGGCCGAAATCAAGGTGTCACAAGCTCACAAGGCCCATAGCCAACGCAAGATGTTGAGAATTGGTCATTTGGGTCATGAGTTCATGACATGACCTGAAAAATAAGGTCATATCTCCGAAACCAAAAACCACAAAAACTTGAGACTTTCAGTGGAAATCAAGAAAAGGTTAGAGGAGCAGCTATACGAAAATCAGCCCTCTAGCTCTAAAAATGTTGAGTGCAGAGCAGAAAGACTACCTGGGGGGGGGTGGCAACCCCCCCCCCCATGTGCGGGCGAGGGTTAACCCTCGCATGTGTAGGGGGGGGGGTCGGATGGACCCCCCCCCCATGGTTTTTCGCGAATAACTCGCGTAAAAAGCGGCCGATCGCGACGAAACTTTCAGTACCCTCGCATTGATCAATTTTACACCTACCCTGAAAATTTCATGACCCTGACCCAAATGACCTTTGACCTGTGACCTCTTTTCCGAGACCATGTTTGGCCGGAATCGCGATTTCGCGTATGTCGGCTCGCACTAGCCGCGTGTTTGCAAGCTTTTCGTGGTTTCAAACGTTCCAACATGTGATTTGATGTTACTCCCGTGTGTGTCAAGGTCACCTGAAGGTCAGGTCAGGTCATTGACCTTTGGTGACCTCGGGTGACCTCGGGTCACTTTTTCGAGTTTTACATGTTTCTAGGCTAGTTTTTGGAGCTGAATTCGAATTTAGCAACCATTTGAACATTTACGAAGTAGTTTTGGTGACTTCGTAACATGTTACGAAGCTGTCAGAGGCGGTTGACACGTACTACGAATACCCGTCACGACGCCTACTGGTTGACCTGACCTGACCTGACCTGACCCGACCTGGTCTAAATGCTTCAAGACATCATCTGTGATCAAAACTAACACGATATTCGTGATCAGCACCCCGAAAAACCCCTTAGCAGCCACACTTTACGACTTTCTAACAGGTCCCGATTTTCCCGACTTTGGGTCATTGACCTGACCTGGAAGGTCAACCAATGACCTAGGACCTTAAAATTGGGTATCATCGGCTTCCTCTCGTCACGGGCAACACGCTCGTTTTTTCCGCGAAGCTCTAGCTCGATCAGGGGCCAAACGGCAAGGGGGGGGGTCCAACCGACCCCCCCCCCCCTACACATTAGAAGCTGGCAAACGCCGCACACATGCGAGGGTTAAGCAAGCGGTGACTTATGATTTATGAATTACATATTATGTCCACCGGGCACTTAATTTTCCATAAGCCAATATGCATCTTTCAATAAGGAAAACGCGCATCCTTGTACAATTATTGTCTTTGACGAGACACCCATATTTGTAATTATATCATGACTTTTCCAATTCCGACGAAAAAGGAGCCTCACCATTCTGTCCTTGCGTGTAGACATATGGATTGTAAACCTACCACATCATCTATCATTTCAACTAACACTATCAAAGAGGAATCGGAGTTACTGGTTCTTTGGCGGCCTTTATGTCTATCGAAAAATGTAGCATCGAGCTCAGCCATCTCAACACTCAACAGGGAGATTTTTATGAGTGCAGCTGAATGAAATAATGATAGGAGTGCCGTTAAGCACATCAGCACCTCTCTGAAGCAATGGCAGTGATCGTTCTTTGTGTGTTTTCGAACAGTGTTTTCAAACGAGAAAGAAGAAAAAACAGTCTTCATCTGTAAAGGATTGAATCTTGGATTGATGACCTAGTTTAGGTCTCGATTGTATGGGAGGCAACGCAAATTTCGTCGATTTACAACGCTTCAGCCGCCAGGGACAGAAGTCATTCGTTTCAATTCGTTTTAGAAGGCCTATCGAGGAGTTTCGGAATACCAGCCAATTTGTAGGAGATCTGTGCGCCGTGAAATGGAGCGAAAATTTAGCTTCGTGTTCAGCTGCTCACTTCCTGCTCACACAAACCGCTGGGCATGGAGTACAACAAATTAAATGATCTTTTAACACCACCATTTAGTAATTGTATTATGACGAAATTAGCATTCTGGCACCAGTGACAGCTAAGGGTGCGTGAGTTACCACTTCAATTTGAAAACGTGGCCGCACCCGTTGACATTTTTAACCTACATTCTGTGGTAACACACCACATGAGCCGAAATTGGCGCCTATCGTCTGCGCCCGAGCTGCCATTGACCACGACTCTGAGTATTATCCCATGCTCATGTAACCGAAATACATAGACCAGCTATGTAGCAATTACCGCGGTCAGTCAGCGGACGTCCGCGGTCGCACTTCGGGGAATACTGATCCCGAGGGCACAGTTGGTTTAGCTAGTCAGATTTGAGTTCGCAGTGATCGCTGTGGGCATTAAACGCTTCCTGGAACTTGATTCTATGCGTCGGTCACTACGGAAATTATTGCATTCCACGACGGACCAGTTCCGCGCAGAGCCTACAGCGGCGACTTCGTCTCCGCTGAGCCGCTGAGCGACTGAGCGGAGCAGAGCCACGGCTTCCGGTCCCACGACGGCTGTAATACCAGCTCAGACGGGCGGCGCGACAGGGCGGAAATCGGACAAGCGCCGCCCGGCCGGCCGCCCAGTCAGACGCGTACGCCTCTTCGCCGTCGCACGCCAGTAATGAGCTCATTCAGTTTAATGCGGCTCTGAATCGGTGGCGCGCCGGCCGCCGCCCACTAATTGATGTGACGCCTGGTCTCCGGCGGGTCCCCGCCTCCCCCAGTGGCATTGATTCTGGCCGGCCAGCGGCGGCCCAACCAGGCTAAATCCATTACTGCAGCGGCGCGCCGCCTTCAGAGCTGACTGGCGCGGAGGAAAAACTCGCTGAAGATCGGAGCTAATGTTTGTTTTCGGGATGCCGAGTCAGGGCAGGTTAGCGCTGAAAACTCCGCCAAAGGCTTTAGAAAGCGAAAATAGATGAGTTGAAAACTAAAACGTTTTATGATCAGTTGCTCGTAATAAGCATTTACTTCAAGAAATGAGACACCAAAATTTTCGTTTTACTGACTCTGATTACTTTAACTTCCTTCTTACGATTTCAAGAAATGCACTTAAATATTCATAGCAATATAATTATGGAGTTATCTAAGGCTTCATAAAATGATTGAGCTTTTATAGGACAGCATTATGTCAAGTATTCGCAAGCAATACAACCCATACCAGTGTATCCTCTCGGGGCTCGCCGTTACAGTATCTCAACTGCTGCACTACATGTAACTAAGTCCGCCCGCCCGACACAATCCTGTTTTTGCATGGGTACTGGACAGGGATCCTGACACATCCAGAAAAGAAAAATATTCAGAGGTGCTGTTATATCTCACATACTCTAGCTTACGGTAAAAAATCTTCAGAGTATATTATGATGAAAGAGAACAGGCTTCATGCAAAACACAAAAGTCCCAGTGCTATGGCATTTCAGCATTCTTATGTTCAAATAATGAGAGCGTTTATATAATGGCCTCGTAGTTTATATGAACCAATAAAAGCAGTCCCATCTTCGTGACCTAATCGAAAATTTGTCCGACCCTTTCATTGAAAACTCGATTACCTTTCGAATAGTTACTACGCGACCACTTCGCTTTCATCCTCGAGGCTTTGATCTTCAGCTATTTATGTGAGTCATGTCTTCTGCCGACTTATAATTACGTCTCGATTGTCAGGATACTCTTACTCCTTTAAATTTCTAACTATGTGCACTGTTCAGCATCCAACTGTCCAGCGCATGGCTTATTAGTTGTTGATGTGTTCATTTGTTGCTACATGATTACAATACAAACTACTTCTTACTTGTCGCTACCTTGAACCTCAACCGACCACCAAGTACCGGACTGCCTTCCTATACGACCTACGCAAGGTGATCCACAACCTGCTGTAGGTGGCCGTCGACCTACGACAGATAATCTACGACTCACTATGATGATCGTTGACCAATGGCAGCGACCAGTAAGACCTACAGGAGACCGTCACCGGCTCGCGAACCTTGGTCGCGTGCATGTATGTATGTAATATGTATGTATGTATGCGTGTCTGCATCGACATCACAAGTCTTCCACAAACAGCGTGGCGATCACGGCTTGTCACTCACCTTCAGCCGGGTCTCGGGATTGACGTCGATCATCCCCCGCAGCAGGTTCTGGCAGTCGGGCGGCACAAAGTGCGGGATGTGGAACGTGCCGCGCTTCACCTTCTCCAGCAACTGCCGCAGGTTGTCGTCGTCGAAGGGCAGCGCTCCGACCAGCAGCGCGTAGAGGATGACGCCGCACGACCACACGTCCGCCCGCCGGCCGTCGTACTTTTCGCCCTGTAGAAGGGAGGAGTGACAGTGAGAGGTGGGCTTCTTTGTTTTCATCCTGTGGGGAACGAGGGTTGAAGACACAGTGAGACATTGAAGGAAAACTTTTTACCCTGTGGGGGTAAGAAGAGTGAAATGTGAGCTTCCTCATCTCAGTGGGAGCAAGGAGCGATATCGCAGTGAGAGGTCTGAATCTCCTATCTTTCGATGTCACAGACAGCGACTGTAAGACGTGAGTTTCTCGCAGTGAGCACACACACATGGCACAAGTAGAGCTGCATTGCCAGCATAGATCCTACCTAACATCTAGAAACACATGTCATTAGCAGTGGTGAGCAGAGGTAAAAAAAAACTTCCTACTCGCTTACATTGTAGGCGACAGAAGCTGACAGGCACCAGAGACATTTGGTGACAAAGTCACGAAAATGGTGAACGCACTGCATCGCATTTGTTGACGGCGTTTTCGCGCACTGCTAGCGAACAGACTAACCAGCCAATCCGCGGCGAGAATAACCCTGAGCGAACCAATCGGATGCTGGTGACACGAGGGGACAACGCTGAGCTAACGCCCCAGCCGCAAGGGAGCCTTCACTGTGGATTTTGTAGGCCCCAGGAGCCAACGCATCAAAGATTTTGAGCGGGCCTTTTCGGCGCACGTCTATGAGAGGTATGCCGTGATCATGAACACGTAGCAAAACAGGAGTGGACTCTCGCGAGTAGCGCTCAGTGCTGTCCGGTCCAATTTTCAAACAAGTTTGAATGCTTTCAAGAAAGGGACTGGCGCTGTGATGAAAGCTGCGTTGTTGTATTGTGGTTTGATTGTGGTTATGATTTTTTTTTCTGTTTTAAGCAAGGCAGGACATAACACTGGAAGTAAGGAATCTTGGGTTGTCTAATTTTGCTGATTTAGGTACTTGTAAGTTGGATATAACAACGCTAGCCCGGTGGGCATCAAAAGCAAGGCTGTGTGGATTTGTTGCCTGATTTTGAAACACTTGCCAAAGTTGTCAATGAATAGATGTTTTTACTGTAAATATTGACACAACTTTCATTTTGATTTTAATTTGTTGAGCCCTAGAAGAGCACAAATTTCAATTTTCATGAGCTGGTAAAAGTATACCAGTCCAAGGACTCCGAAAAAATGTAGGGTGGTATGTAGATTGTAAGCTGGGAGGTTGTAGGCTGGTAGGTTTTCTGCTTTGTGTTGGTATGTTGTAGGTAGGTTGTAGGTTAGTAGTTATGTGAGTTTGGCTCAGGCTTAATTGTTTTTACTTCATTCCGACTTCTACTCTTTTACTCTTGCGTAAGTGTTAAAGAAGTCTGAATGAAAGAAAAACATCATTACCTAACCTAATCTTACTTTCTACCCTACCACCTATTACCTACCAGCCTACAGCCTATCTATACCTTCTACCTTATACCTGTACCTACAAGTTACAACTTCCTTCCTTAAACCTGCCAACCGACAAGCAGCTCCGAAGCATACAAAGCATACTACCTAGCACCTACACCTATTTTATTTTGACTTATTGTATACTAGTACCAAAAATCTAATGATTAGAATTTTGGTTTAACAATATTAGTGGCCTTGATGTGGAAAAGGAACCTTTTGCAACATGTTGCATAGGTAGGATATTGTATTATACATAGGCACCTATTATTTGTTATGTCATAACAGGTGTGAAATCCGACCATATAGAACACAAATGTAAATGTATTATGGAAAAATGTAAAATAGAATGTCAGCAATTCTTAAATGCATCTGCACAAGATTAGTTACACATGCATTCAGTGTCCCAAAGTTGAGTTTTGGCTGGGGTGTCAGAGGGGGATATTATCCACCAAAAAGGGGTAGAGGGTGGAAACTGCTGGTTAGAATAGATACAAAAATAGTGAGAAAAGATCAATAGCATTTATTTTTATCCATGAGTATCTATGATCATAAACCAACTCCAAGTATCCACACAACTCAGTCCACCACACCTGTCCACTTGTCCAAGTCCACCACACCTGAACTGCCTTTTGAGGTAACAAGGTGTTTTTGGCTGAGAGTGGTTAATTGCTCTTAGAAATTGGTGGTGAGAGTGGCAAATGAATCTCAGTATTTCCCACCCAAATCAACAAATTTGGGACACTGTAATACATTATCCAGGTTTAGGGCCACACTAACATTGGTGACGCTAACATTAACATTGGCCTTATGAATCCTAGAATTTTTCCAATTTTACCACCCTATTGCAACACTTATCTGGCCTCCGGGGGCAGGGGACACAAAGGGGGTTGAAAAATTTTGTAGGTGACACAAAATAAGTTTTTTTGACCTCTGGTGGTGAGATGCATCATTTTCAACAGACTTTCGATGCCGAATCGGGAAAACTTCGATACTCACCTGAGCTAAGCGAAAATTATCTCACTGATCGAAATATACGAACCGGAAATTATGCAGGTAGTTTGAGAACCTTGAATTGATCGGGCATACAAACCAGTGACAGTGGCAGTGACCTGTAACCGTTAGCAATCCAAGGTGCTGTGTCACCAGCCAGGTCAGGTCGCCGGCAGTGGCTCCTGTCACCAGCGCCCGCGGGTGGCTGCCCGTCTGGCCGCTGTCACTGCCACACCGATTAGCCCCATACCGCCACTACGTGTCATTTAGCGGGCAAACAATTAGCCGCAATGCAGGCCGCTGCCGATCTCCGGCGGGCGGCTGGGACGGGCGAGATGGGGCTGGGTGGTGAGAGCGGACATAACATTCTACATAGAGCGGTGTTTATTACTGGGAGCAGAAGACAGGATCAACCACTTCTGGTCGCCGGGCATAGAGGCAGGTAATGCGTTTATAGTTGGGAAAGCTTTGCTTTATTCGTTATATCGCTCAAAACAATCCGATAATTCTGAAGCTGTTGTTTGGCGCAGTTACACTAAACAAAACAACTAAAGAAGCCGTGCGTCGTGGTGCTTTGACCCTGACCTTGGTGAAACGAGAGTCTCCATAACAACCACACTGCCTCACCCAGTAATGGCACTCCTACCCCATACACACAAACACACAGTCTCACTCAGCGATCGGGTTGTGGCGTGACCGAGGACTTGTTTACAGAGCCGGGACCGGCCAGCGGGAGGGAGGGCAGGGGAGGGGAGGGAGGGGAGAGATCACGGTCACACGCGGACCACACACCGGTCGGCTCCCAGACTGTTTTCCGATTTGGTGGCCGCGTATTGATTGCAGTCGGGCCGCCCGCGTCGGTGGTGGCAGGGCGGATGTCAGCCGCGCTTTGTCAGCGACAGGCGGGAAGTATCGTGTCCCTGACCGAAAAATTTATCTACGATATGTAATTATTGCACGATATCGTTATACGGTAATTCATTATTCCATTAACAGCACAGCCATCATGAATATAAGTACCTCACGTTGTTTCGAATTGACCGGACTAAAGAAGCAAAGCTGGAACTATCCAGCATGGTACAGGCTGGTAGGCCCAAACACATATGCCAGAACTACAAGGACTATCAAAACAGAAAGAAGGCTCGTATCAAGCGCAGATGTCAGACGCTATGGAAAGAAAGCAGGTTCAGGAAATGGTGCGTTTGGTCGGCCGTGCGCAGGTGGGTACTGGGTATGTTTGTTTAGACAAATAAAACAGACAACCACTTGCTTTTCGATATGTTCTTTTTTACATATGCAGCCTATGTGTATGTACAAAGGACGTTATAACATGCAAATGTGTTTTTTAAATCAATTAAAACCTGCAAAGAAATCGCGACAGATCGGAAAAGCCTTCTCTTTCAGCCGTGTACATACAGTGAACAAAATGACAGTCTCCGCCAGCCAAGGCGACGAGAGATGAGTTTCATGTATTAGCATCCAGTCGTGATTTAACCCACTGGGATCCATTCCGAGGGCTGCAGGTCAGAGAATATAGCGCGAGGGAGTCAGTATACGGGCGCAGTCAGACAACAGAACAGGAGATGCAGAAAGCGCAACAATGACGCAGACAGTATGATAGCAGCAACTACGAAGGGCTCATTGATATTTTCCCACGAAGGTTACCGATGCGGTAACTAAAAGTGTGCGCTTTGCGTGCCGTTAGCCGTCCCGTCGAAGTCTTCTATGGCTACTACACCAGCGGGGTGCGATCTGTCAGCTCTGCACTCTCGTCCACTGCAGACTTCTCCCCCTCAGTGTCTGCTGGTGTCTCCTTCAGACTGATGGCCCGCCGGCCCTGCGCGCAGGCCATCGCAAGCGCCGGCAGTGCCATCAGCAGCACCAGAGCGCTGAACACGTCCACTGCCGCTGAGAAGCCGGCGGCGTCCGTGAGCAGGCCACCGGCCAGCGGGCCGACGACACTGCCCACGGAGAACGATGCCGCCCAGACGGCAGACACCAGCGCCTGCGTGGCCACGGTGTCGGCAAGGCCGGCGGTCAGCGCCGCGTGAAGGAGGTTACCGAACGTCGGGATGAGCGCGCCGCCGAGGAACAGCTCTCGGACCGTCATACCGGTGACGAGCAGCGGCCGGCTGGGCGGCAGACCCGGCGGACAGAACAGCGCCAGGCCTACCGCCGCCAGCGCCAGCGCCACCGCCATCAGAGGGTAGGTGCTGCCCAGTCGGTCACAGAGCTTCCCGACCAGAGGACCGGTTAGAGTGTACATGCCGCCGGCTAGCAGGAAGTAGAGACTCAGCTGCTCGGCCGAGACGCCGAGCCGGGCGGCGGCGAACGGCGCCAGACCGGGACGCAGCGCCGTGTAGCCCGCAGACACGGTGATAACAGTGGCCACGTTCAGAGCCACCTCGGGACAGCGCAGCAGGCGCAGCAGCTGCGCGCCGCCGGCCGGCTGCTGGGGGGCGCCGCTCAGCGCCGGCAGCGAGCACCAGCTCAGCACAGCAGCCGCTACCGTGACGCCGCCCAGCGCGTAGAACGGCGCGCTGTAGCCGCCGGCGGCGTACAGGAGGCCCCCCAGCGCCGGACCGGCAGCCATCCCCACGCCCACCATGGTCTCCCCGAGTCCGAACAGAAAGTGCACCCGCTGCGGGAACTGGTTGGCGATGATGGTGCAGCCGGCTGTGTACGCAGCTGCCGTGCCGAGCGCCTCCGCTACGCGTGCCGCCGTGCTGGCTGCAATGAACCCTGTCTGGGAATCAATCCGGTCAACCAGGCCGAACCCTACAGTAGCCACGCCGGTCAGTGCCAGTCCGAGCTGAAACACGCGCGCCACGCCGAGCGCTGGGACAGCTCGACCGGCCAGCGGCGCCGTCACCAGCATGGTTACGGCGTGTGCCGAGAACACGGCGCCCACCCAGGTCTGCGGCACGTCCCGCCGCTCGGCCTCGGTCGGGAAGAACGGCACAATCATGGAGGCCACGCTGCTGAACAGCAGGTTGCCCGTGACGACGTTGGCGATGACGATGACGTCACGCCAGCTGAGCCGCGAGGTGGCGCGGCCGGCCGGCTGGGTGACGTCAGGCTTGGAGTCGGCGCGGTGTGGTGCACTGTTATCGGGGCCGTGGCGCGGGTCGGAGCGGGCGGCGCCACTCGTCTCGACCGGCCCGGGCCCGTCGGATGCGCCGTCCATGGTCACTGACAGCACCGGGTCTCACTGACAGTCCGTGTCAATCTGCTGACCAGTCAGGCACTCCACTGCAGACACAGAGCGCACCGGTCTCTCACTCTGTCCACTTTCTCTCTGGCACACAGAGACCCCTCACTGCCCGGGCCGTCACTGGCCGCCTCTCCCCGCCCCGGCGGTATCTGGGTGAGGCTGGCGCGCCGCCCGGGGGCGGTGACTCGTGATCTGTTCCCGTGCAGACTTTGACCTTGTGAGCGGCGCCACTAAGAGGCTCTGGTGTCAGTGGCGGAGCCAGCAGGCAACATGGGAGGGTCATTCCGTCAAGTACTTTTTCACTTCTAGTCTGGGTATCAATGGCGTATCCAACATGAATTGGATAGTCAATTGCCCCTTTCTCTCAAAGGAGTGTAGAAAATATCCGCCATTGTTACCGGAAGTGGGGGACGACCGCCACGGTCACCGGAAGAAGACCTCCCTATCCCTGGCCTCCATGGGTGTATGGAATGGATCAGCGAGGGACACCTCCGCCCAAATGCGCAGCCCCGCTTGGAATGGCTCAGCCGGGGGCAGGCTGCACTATTTCTGGCCAGATTAAATTCGTCGGAACGTCGGACATCAGCCATCTCTCTCCGTTGAACAAATGATGAGAAATGCCACTGACAGCCGGCACGCCCTGTGGGCTGCCGTCATCGTCGTGGGATTTCGGTTGCGATCGAGCCGCTCGCGCTTTGGGTGGGGGGTGAGGAAGGGGCTAGCAGCAGTTCCTTGCAACGTTCAGGCGTCACAGACGCACTCATTATCATTTGCTCTCTGCACACGTCACGCGGCCAGACTCGCCGCTCCGTACTGATTATTGAGGCAGCTATCGCGGTGCTCCGACACATCCGCCATGTTTGTTATCTGAGGAACACAGCAAAGAGGGGTTCCGCCAACTAAGTCACCCCATCACCGTCTTGTCGGTCGCTTCTCGTTACCCCAACCGCCGTCGTCGTCGCGCGTCGCCTCGACTCCGCAATCACCTACAGTATCGGGAAGCCCCGCTCACGTCGTCGTTATTAGAGGCACACGCGAGCGGCGCCGTCGCTGCCGTCGCTACCGTCGTCGGCGGCGACGCGGGGTGCTGTTTACCATCCGTGAAGACGGCGGCGGCCAGCCTCGGGGGAGGCACCGGCCGAGTTGGGCCTTATCGAGCCGCTCGGAGCCGACCGGAGTGCCGGCCGAGACGGCGCCGTCATCAGTCATGTGACGACGTGAGGGCGCCGGCGGAGCGCACCGCGTCACACCGGACGAGCGGCGGCCGCGCAGCGCGTGAAACGAGCCGCACGTGCCCGAACGGGAGTGCCGCGCGCGGCCGCTCTTCCCGAGAGGAGGGAGAGCGTGGGAGGAGAACAGTGGTGTTATTCAGGAGAGAGACGGGGGGAGGTTATCGATCAATAACATATTGCTGGTAGTACCCCTCTGATACCTGTCTAAGTGTCTAGCCAAGACAGACCGCCAAGAGGCACAAGCATCCCACACCATCTCGTGCTTGGTAACTCTGCAGAGAGTTTCCTAGTCGATTGATTTTCTCGGCAGAGTCGGCCCCTCGGAGCCCAGTCAGCTTTGAGATGACTCATCGGGAGGCCAGCCGAGACGCTGTGCGCGGCACGGCAGGGGAAGCGGACCAGCTGCAGACGCCGAGACCCGTCCGAGGGTGGGGAGAAGGCTACTTTTCAGACTGAATGTTGAGAGTTACTTATAGAGCCGGTGACTTATAAATGGTTAAGTGAGGTGGAATGCTGGAATACTTTGTCGCTTTCTTCATTGGAAGCAGCAGAATTCTACGCACTGAACTGTGAGCGGCAGACCTGACTGAACGTCGAAAGGCTTGCGTTGATGCACGGAACGAGGAGCGTAGCATCGATATTAGCGCACGGATTTCCATAATCTATTCGTGGGGCGCCGAACGTCGGCACCATTTGTGAAGGTCACGAGGGAAAATCAGTTACACCAGGTGCGGGAACAATGAATTATGACTTCAACTATGCCTTATAAATAGGACGCTGCAAATGAATGGATCAGAAAATGTAAATATCACTTAAGATGTACATAGACAATGCGCATATAAATAAAATTCGTCATGTTACAGACAGACCTTCAGACAATGATAATAAAATAATCGAATAATTGGCCAAAGAATGCATCCACACACAGAAAAATATTAACACCGTTAGCGGTGTAATTGCACAGTACATATCTGAGCACTTGAGGAAAGTTAATTTAGTCCCTTCCCGCTTAAATTACTCGCGCTTCCAAATGAACACCAGGAAGAAGGTAATAGAACACTGTTAGGAGGGTTGGGTGTTTTGCTACATGTAGTAAAACACCCAACCCTCCTAACAGTGTTCTATTACCTTCTTCCTGGTGTTCATTTGGAAGCGCGAGTAATTTAAGCGGGGAAGGGACTTTCCTCAAGTGCTCAGATATGTACTGTGCAATTACACCGCTAACGGTGTCAATATTTTTCTGTGTGCACAACTAGTCAGCACTGGGGCACATCACCAGCCACAAATTGGCTGCGTCTGCCCCTCAGCTCTCTGCAGGCAGACCCGTCACAGAGGCGGCAATGCCTACCAGCGGCAGCAGCCCTCCTCCTCTCCCCATCCCCCCCCCCCCCAACACCTCCATCCCGACCCCGCGCAATCAACCCGCGCCCAGCGCTGTCCTAAGTAGATACGGGCGTGCCATAAGCGCCCGGCGCAGGGGAGCAATCCGGCCCCCATTTGGCGCAGAGTTGGCCACAAAGCGGCCACCGACCCGTGCCACCAGACAAAGCCAATTTCCGGCGCGAGCCAATGGTCTACCGGATTCAAAGACCACGCCACATCCGGTGGTCGCCGTAAATGACGTCATCAGTCACCCACGTCAGTCCACGGCCTTTGGTGACTTAACTTGGTCCGACCACCAGCCGTGCCCGCCTCGGCCGCCCCGGACAGTGTGGTACGGTGTCCCGCCCTTCCGGAGTCGGTCATTTTGCCAAGCCGGAAAATTATCTCCTCCATTTGACTCACAGTGGCACTTCAGCTTGACTGACGGCTCCTTCACACGTGGTGGATCATTTCGCATAAGACAGACCGACAGGCAACAGCGGAACGATCTCCCTTTCCCCTCTCTCTCTCTCTCTCTCTCTCTCTCTCTCTCTCTCTCTCTCTCTCTCTCTCTCTTTCTCTCTCTCTCTCTCTCTCTCTCTCTCTTTCTCTCTCTCTCTCTCTCTCTCTCTCTCTCTCTCTCTCTCTCTCTCTCTCTCTCTCTCTCTCTCTCTCTCTCTCTCTCTCTCTCTCTCTCTCTCTCTCTCTCTCTCTCTCTCTCTCTCTCTCTCTCTCTCTCTCTATCTCTCACACTCTTTTGCTATTGGCAAACTCCCCGGAGTGGTAAAGCAGCATACTCTCAACACTGTTCCAGCCGCATGAGGATGCCTTGTAGTTGCAGAGAAAATAATGGTGTTGGGATATGAAAAGTGAAATAAGACACCCCGACGCAACCGCAGTCCGCAGCACAGCACCAAAAAGGCAGACTCAATCAAATATCGAGCCAGTCGCCGCATCTAAAAGCGCCACTTAGGGGCTCTACCGGTGCCTAATGACGCGTCACAAGCAGTGCGTCTGAGTTTGGCGTCTCTCCTTTCACTAGATTCCGTTCGTCAACGCGGCACAGCCTTCAGAAGGCGTGGAAAGGCGTCTCGACGGCCAACTCGGGAGCCCTTTCGCGCGGGGCCCGTCCTTCCCTTCCTCTGTCCGGCTCACTCGTCTCCTTTTCGTTCTCTTTCTCTCTTCTATTTTCTTCCTGCCTCCCTCTTCTATTATTTCTCTCCCTCTCCTTCTCGTTATTGACGAACTCCCCGGAGTCACGCTGCACAGGACGGGCCATGGAAGGATGGTTGTTCCTTGCCGACGGTCGCCCCGCCATGTCACTCCCTATTCTCAGCAGTGACGCAGGCGGTCGTCGAGATGGCCATGGCTCGACAGCTGCTCATCTGCCATGCCGCAGCGGACACCCTTCATAACAGCTCATGAATAAACCCTGCCGCATTATTGGCGATAACAGTGCGGCGGGGTATGCATGTGGCGGCGGCTGAGTGCCGTCCAAACCGCGCCGTGTCGCCGAGTGAGCCGTCACTGGGCTCAGTCCAACTGCTGGCAGTACAGAGTCATCTCGGACAGAATAGGTTTGGTCTGAGGTACCCGGTCAGGGTCGCGCGCGGTGCAGTCCGCTGCGGCACGGGCCAGCAGTGGGCGGCGGCTCGCCGGCTTCCGTCCGGCTCCGGCCGCGACTCCGGACTGAAAAATGATGGCGGCCGGGCATGAATAATTCAGGCGGTGTCGCCGCCAGCGATTGTGTTTCCGTCGCTGCTGTGTGGAAGGGCTGGCGACCACGTTCCGCAAGACGTTAGTGGCCAATGTATTGTTCTGTTAAGGTCTGTATGAGAGTAGATTTCGTCGTAATGTTGGTGCCTTTGTTTCCAGGCTTAGAGATAAGCTTGGAACTTGCAGCAACGACGGCGCTATTGCTTCAGTTCATTAAGATTTTGCTTCAGCGATATTTGAGACTTTTTGTTCAAGAAAATAGTTAGGGAGCAAACCTTCATTAGTGAGCAGACCCACTCGCATCTCTGGCAATTTGAGATTAAAAGCAGAGCCCCTCACTGGGCACATGGAGAACCAAAACATCGCCAGTCTCTGAGCAAAAACAACACCACGCGACACTGGCGTGACGGTGTCCGAGCAGATGCTGCTGCTCCTATCACCACGGTGCATGCCGAGTGTTGTGCGATCGTAGCACTGGCAGGCTACTGTGGGCATCAGCGATTCTGGTCACCAGTCGGAGACAGGGGGCCACCCTGCCAACCACCAGCCCACCGGAGATAGAAAACGTGCTCCCCCTCCCTCCCCCCGGAGAGAGGGGCCTGTTGTTGCCCACCGCCCCTGGCCCTTCCCCTCCCGCCGAAGCTGTGCTGCTGCTCACTGGCCATCCCCACCGGAGACAGACCTCGCGCTGCTCACCGCCACTGCATTGGAGACAAACCACCGCGACCGGGGGAGGGCGGACGCGACTGTCGTCACTCGGAGACCGCGGCAGCGGCCGGTGTCAACATGGGCCTCCTGTAAACA